GATTTGGACTACTCTGAATTTACCAACTTTTTGAGAGAGTATATAAAGTAGAGATGAAGAGCATAAGCCTTAGAGCCAGACTGCCTGAATTCAAATTCCAGTTACACCTCTTAGTATCTGTGTGATTCTAGGCAAGTTCCTTAGCCTTCCTTTTTTTTCAAAAATTATTTATCTTGGCTGCCCTGGGTCTTCATTGTGGCACGCGGGATCTTTGCTGCGGCATGCATGCAGGATCTAGTTTACTGACCAGGGATTGAACCCAGGCCCCCTGCATTGGGAGCGTGGAGTCTTACCCACTGGACCACCAGCCAGGGAAGTCCCTCCTTAACCTTTCTTTACCTTAATTTCCTCATCTGTTAAACAGGAATAACAGTAATGTGATCAATCTCATAGGGTGTTGTGAAGGTTAATTGTGAATATTAATCTTGAGTTAATGTATGCAAATTAGAAATAGTACCTGCCACTTAGAGCTCTGCAAGTGTTACCTATCATCATCATTATTTTTACTTTTATTTTTAGTGTTATATGGGATTGGATGCCTAAGGCAGTGGTTCTCAAACTTCATCAGGCATCAGAAGCACCTGGAGGGCTTGCTACACCATCCCCACCCCCCGAGTTTCTGATTCAGTAAGTCTGAGATGTGGCCTGAGAATTTGCATACCTAACAAGTTCTCAGGTTATACTGAGGCTGCTGGTCTGAGGAGTACTGTTTGAGAACCACTGCCCTAGAGGATAATGTGACATGCAAAAGAAGAAATAGGTTGCTTTCTGCTCTATGTTGTGACAGAGCACCTGAAGCGGCAGCAGGCCTCATGCACAGTGTTGGATGAGAACACAGCAAGTCATCTGGGCATCGCTGCAAGTGGTAAGCCAAATCCCCAGTTCTTTTTCATCAGATTTTGCTGTAACTGTCCTTGGAAGCACAGTGGTACATTTGGGTGAGTGTGGACCTTGAGTTCAGGCACACTCCACCTCAATCCTGACTCCACTACTTACTTTGGTATGACAGACTGTTTAATGTCTCTGAGCTTCAGTTATTCTCATCTGTAAAATGAGAATGATAACTCCTACCTAATGATGTTCATGCATAGTGCCTGGTACGTTGTAAGATACTTAACAAATGTTAGTCTCCTTCCCTTCATAGGACTGCTGGCAGGATGAAATGAGATAGCATATGTAAAATGCCTGGCATACATTAAAGGGCACTACCCTTCCCCACCCAAATTCCTTCCCTGGCTCCAATCTGGAAACATCTAACAAGTGGGAAGAGGGTGGCCCCCCAGAATAAATCTGTACAATTTGTTTTCAGGGACTCTTGCCTCCTCTTTTATGTGCCATTTCTTTCCTCTGTCTCTCTCGAGCCTTGGCACAGGCAAGGCTTCCTGCCGTTTCACCCGGCAAAGAGCTCCCCAGACCTCAGAAGCAGCTGCTGTGGATACAGGCGCCCTGCAGATTGCCACCTGGCCCCCTGCTCTTCTGGGAAGAGGGGAACTCGTGCATTGCAGACTTCAGGGTCCACTGATTAGCCTTAATTTTTTGCCCTCCATTTTTTTTTTTTTGGCTGCGTTGGGTCTCCGTTGCTGCACACGGGCTTCCTCTAGTAGCGGCGAGCGGGGGGCTACTCTTCATTGTGATGTGTGGGCTTCTCACTGCGGTGGCTTCTCTTGTTGCAGAGCACAGGCTCTAGGCGCACGGGCTTTAGTAGTTGCGGCGCGTGGGCTCAGTAGTTGTGGCTTGCGGGCTTTAGACCACAGGCTCAGTAGTTGTGGCGCACAGGTCTAGTTGCTCCGCGGCATGTGGGATCTTCCCGGACCAGGGATTGAACCCATGTGCCCTGCATTGACAGGCAGATTCTTAACCACTGTGCCACCAGGGAAATCCTGCACTCCATTTTAAGGCAGGTTTTCTCAAAATTTTTTTTGTTCTAAAGTTAAGTCTTTCAACTGTTTTTAGATCAAAGGCATTTAGAAGAACAAGAAACTAACAGTAATAAAGAAGACAGCAGTATGCTTTGGACCAAAGAAACTCAGGATCTAGAAGAGGATACAGAGAGGTAACAGAAAAAGCTGGACTTTTTTTTTTTAAAGTGTTTGAAAAAACTATAGTGTTAGTTTATATTAGTTTTTCTTCTGATACTGACAAATAAGGAAATAATGATTTTTTGTCATACTATCCTTATAGCCCCTATTCCTAAAAGGTTCTTTTTGTTTTTTTTAAAAGTCCTTAATTGTTATAAAATACATATAACACAAAATTTTTAAGTGTACAGTTCAGTAGTGCTACGTATATTCACATTGTTGTGCAACTGATCTCCAGAACTTTCTCATCTTGCAAAACTGAAACTCTGTACCCATTAAACAACAACTCCCCATTTCCCCCTCCCCTCAGTCCCCCGCAACCACAGTTCTACTCTCTGTTTCTCTGAGTTTCACTATTCTTTTTTTTTTTTTTACATCTTTATTGGAGTACAATTGCTTTACAACGGTGTGTTAGTTTCTGCTGTATAACAAAGTGTATCAGCTATACGTATACATATATCACCATATCCCCTCCCTCTTGCATCTCCCTCCGGTGTTTGTTGTTTTGTCACTGGCTTATTTCACTCAGCATAATGTCTTCAGGGTTCATCCACGTAGCATGCATCAGAATTTCCTTTCTTCTTAAGGCTGAATTCCATTGTGTGTGTGTGTATCACATTTTGTTTATCCATTCATCTGTTAGTGGACACTGGGTTGCTTCCACCTTTTGACTCCTGTAATGCTGCTCTGGGTGTGAGTGCGCAAATAGCTCTTCAACACACCCTGCTTTCATTTCTTTTGGATATATACCCAGAAGTGGTATTGCTGGATCATATGGTAAATCTATTTTTATTTTTTTGAGGAAATGCCATCCTGTTTTCCACAGCAGCTGCACCATTTTACATTCCCACAAACAGTGCATAAGGGTTCCACTTTCTCCAGATCCTTGCCAATACTTGTTATTTTCTGTTTTGTTTTTTTTTTGGCTGTGCCAAGCGGCATGTGGGATCTTAGTTCCCCGACAAGGGATTGAACCCGCGCCCCCTGCAGTGGAAGCGCCGAGTTTTAACCACTGGACCATCAGGGCGGTGGTGTTTCTGTGTGTTTGATAGTAGCATCCTAATAGGTGCGAGGTGATATCTCATTGTGGTTTTGATTTGCATTTCCCTAATGATTAGCGATGTTGGGCATCTTTTCATATGCAGAAGGCCATTTATATATCTTCTTTGGAGAAATATCCTAGTCCTTTGCCCACTTTTTAATAGGATTATTTATTTTTTTCTTGTAAAGTTGTTGTTTGTTGTTTTGTTTTTACTTCATTTTGTGAGGGAAACATCGGTTTCAGTTTCTTTCAAAACATTTTAAAGAGAATTTTTAGATCTTTCTAGCCAAATAAGAGAAGATGGAGGCAATCATCCAGACAATTCAGTCTGAAAACACTAGTTTGCCTCAAGAAACCCAATTCCATTCTTGACTTGGAGCTCTCCTTTGACCTGTGTTGTAAGGTAAACCACTTCAGATCACCTCCTTTGCCTCCTAACATTTCTTGCTTTGTCCGAACTGTCATTCAGGGCCAGGACTGGAGGGAGGTGAGTGCAACACACTCCTTGGGCACAAAATTGAAGGAGGCACCAAAAAACTCAGAAGTCAAGAAAAGTACAATTTTGATGCCATATTTTTAAAAATCAATACTAATGCAAAAAAAATCCACGATGAACAAAATATTTATGTTTTAAAGAAAGAGAGGCTATGAATCTACACTTACACCACTTGCCTCATCCTCATCCTGGACCAGCAAATCCTTGGGGAAGCCCTGCAGAATACTTTCAGCTGCAACGTTAGAAAACCCCACCATCGTGTTTAAATGAGTTTGTCTCACATGACATGAAGCCCAGAGGTTGGCAGGGCATGGCTGGTGTAGCAGCTCAATGATGCTACCGGGGACTTAGGCTCTTTTGAGCTTTCTGCTCTACCAGACATAGCATGTTGGCCTTTGTTTTCAGGCTTGTCAACTCCTGGACAAGGTGGCTGCTATCCATACTCCAGGCAGAAATAAGAGGGTGGGGCAAAGGAATAGTCTAGCCAACTTTATGTCTTTTTATCTGGAAAGCAAAAGCTTTCCTAGAAGCCCTTCTCAGCAGATGCCTACTTATATCTCCTTGGCCAGATGTGACACATGGCCACCCTTGGTTGCCAGGGAGACTGGAAATTGAGTTTTTAGCTTTCAGCTGCTATAGAAGAGGAAGGTAAGGGCGGACAGTGTTCCGAATAACTTTTGGGAAGTGAATCCAGTTTCTGTCACGCTCTTCAAGGGCTAAACTGTTCTCCACAAGGAAGGAAAAGGGAGAGACCTGGACAGGAAGTGAGGAGACCAGAGCCCTGGGACCTGAGAGCAAGTGGGGAGAGGTCTTTTTGTGTGTGGGGGGTGAGACAGAGAAGACGAAGAGGCAAAGGGGGAGGAAGGTAAACTTTTAAAAGTTTTATAAACCTTTTGTCTATAATGTATGATGTAACTCCATTCATTCCATCTCCCCAAAGCACCTTCGGTAAATATCTAGCCATTATTTAAGGCAAAAGAAGAGTAGCTCGAGAAGGCCAAATTACATTTGGTTATACACATATAAAGTGCTTTGCACATTATCAAAAGTTAGCTACTATTATCATGGTCTCTTCCTTTTTCAAAAGGGCTGGCTATGCTAGACACAGGTAGATGCCCACAGATGCTCAGTCATCTCAGTCCTTGGCACCAAGCCAGAGTGGAAGATATTTTTTCAGGTGGTTGGGACTTTTCAGGCCTTCTGAAAACACATTCTCTGCATCCAGTAGCCTCAGAGGCAGTTCTTAATCTGAAAAACTTGTGGGAATGAGTGTGCATTTCTAGCCTCAGGTGGAAATTGATGTAATGACCTAGAATTGAGACAGAGTCTAATATCACACTTCGGGCTTTTTTGTCAAGAGGCTAAAGGAGGGTTCTGGTGCACACTTAAATCGGATCTAAGTGACCACTACAACTCCAGGTACAGTCTCACCGAGCTCTCATTTTCTCATGTGTATAGTGAAAGCAGGAGTTTGAAGGTCCTTTCCCGCTCTAGAGTGCTATGCCTCCTTGTCAAGGGAGAAGGGGAATGATTGCTGTCTCAATTCTCTTCACTTGCCCTTGCACAGAGCTCACTCTACGCTTGATGAGGACCTGGAAAGATGGCTGCAGACACCTGAGGACAGCACGGAGCTACAGGGTCTCCCCAAGTGCTCGGCAAGGTTATTGTTCTCCATCAGGGGATCATTTTTTTTCTTTTTCAGGAAGGGGGACTAGATTTTAGTTCAGTTTTTTGAAAAAGATAGATTTTAGTTTTTTAGGAAGTACATGGACTCCTTGGAGAAAGAATGTTTGGTGATGGCATCTCTTCCTCCAGCCACCCACAGTGCTCAAGATACTGACTAGCAGACTGATATTAGTATAGAGACAGGCCTCTAAGATTGCTGTGTCTAGGCCCTGTCACCTTCACCATTTTCATCGGTCGTTCGAATTAAATCAGAAAAGGCATGCTTATCAAATTTTTAGATAACACAAATCTAAGGATAAATGCTAATGTGATGGGCAGATAGACTGTGGCTTCAAAATGGTCTTGACAGGTGGAAATGTTAGATTTCTCTGAAAGATAAAAGTGAGCATTTAGATCCAAAAGTATAGAATGTGAGAGATCTGACCTAATGGAGAATTTTTTGATCGGAAGCTCCTACTCACCTGTAATTTCATTGAAGATGGGAAGTATGTCTTATTTTTATATGCCCAGCATTTAGCATGCATTTTGAGATGTGGTAAGAATTCAAGAAATTCCCCTTGAAGAAGACATGGACAGTGACTCCATGAGACCTCAGCTTGATGCAGTTGCTGAAAAGGTCAGTGCAGCACTGTTGCTGAACAGACAGAAATGTACAGTCCAGGTCAAGGTGATGTCTTAGGCTAGCTAGAGGACTCCTAGAACTCATGTGGGGCTCCTTTGGGGTGTCACATTTTAACAGTCAACAAATGGAAGAGGGTGGCCCCAGAACAGCTAGAAGTCTGGAAACCTTGTCATGTGAGAACAGCTGAAGGAGCTGGGAAGGCTCAGGCTGAGAAGAGCAAATGGAGTAGAGAATTTGATAGCTGCCCCCAAATACCTGAAATATTGTAAAGTGAAGAGAGTCAGCTTACTCTCTTCTGCCCCAAAGGACAGAGCCACTGACTAGAAACTGCAGAGTAAGAGATTTTTATTCAGTAAAGCACAAGCTTTCTAATGGCCACAGCGATCTGATAGAGAAACAGCTGCCTCTACACTAACTTTAACAGCAGCTCCTCCCACCCAAGCATAGGCTGCATGACTCTCTGGTCCAGGGCATTTGGACGGAGGTAATAGATAACCTCCTCCAACTTTAGAGCCTGTGATTCTATTAGTGATGAGAGGTTAGGAGGAAAAAAAATCCTTTTCACCCTAGCTGGCTTTATTTTCTCTCTCACTTTGCATATTTTATTTTGAATATCCACCAGATGAAAACAGAAGAAAAATCACTAAACCATGTCAGTTTGATTCATCCATCATTTGTTGAGCACTGTCAGTGAGCTGAGCACTGTGCTAGGGGCTAGAGATGCAGAGGGATAGGATGTCTCTGCCCTTAAGGAGCTTGTAGTTGAGTGGGGAGTTGGTTTCTGCTTACTGGTTTGATAAATGTGGTCTTCAATTGTTAGATACTGCAGTTAGATATTGAGAGTTTTAGGAAATGAAGATAAGGTAATAAAAATACATGTGGTTTTAAAAAGGACACCAATTACAACATAAGTGAAATGCTTTTTTCCTTTGGGACAATACAGCCTAGTGGTTGAGAGCAGAGTCTGTCAGACTTCCCGGGTTCATCCCAGCTGTAGGACTTACTGGGCATTAATTTAACTTCTTTGTGCCTCAGTTTTCTCATCACTTAACTACCTTATATAGTTGTGATGAGAATTAAATGAGTTAATATACATTACAGCACTTGAACTGTTCCACAGGGAACACACAGTTAGCTCTAGTTATTATTATATTTCCTTGGGAGTGCAGTCCTGTTCCCCTGGCCACTGTGCATGTGGTTTAATGACCAAAATCATTGTCATTGAAGGGAGACAAATACCAAAGATCAAGAAGTTGGTGAAAAGAAGAGAAAAGGGGAAGAAAACATCACGCCAGAGAGAAGGAAATCAGAGAGCTTTTTAGGGACTTCTGAAGAAGGTATGAGTTGGATGTTCATTTACGATGTAGCCTGGAGTCCTTGGGCTTCCATGAGCATCAAAGTTATTTAGAAATGTTTCCTAGGTGCTAGACATAATCCTCCTACACTTTTCCCCTGTAGTTCAGCCCAGGTTTTCTGTTAAATGCCAATTATGTCTTTATCACAAAACAGTAACAACAGCCAATTCTATTTCTAAAGCAAGCCTTCAGCCAGGCTCATATTGTCTGGAAAGATGTTTTCCTTCTAATGTGTCTTCAAAAGATAAGAAATCATAAATTGTGGAATTTAAGTGGAGTCTACAAGTAATGTGAAAAGTACAAACCTTAATTTCAAAACTGTTTTGATAGAGCTTTAAGGCGCCATTCACAAATGATGCCCTCCTATATTTAAGTTCCTCCTACTCAGGAAGTTAGCATCATTAACTCTTTCAGATCATCTCGTATCCCTTTTATCCCTTCCCCAGTCCATTCTCATTCTTCTCCTTTTTCTGCCTTGCTTTGTGCCCCAGGATGCTGACCCTTGTGAACTGAATCTGCTGGGCTTCCTGTTGGCCAATGGGAGACCCCAGCAGAAGATCAGATAATTGGGATATTACTTGCCTTACTGCCTACCTCAGCACCTCATCTCTGTGTGGAAGTGATGTCCCTTAACAAGCACAGCTTCTATAGTGCAGTCCATCCTTCCCAGTTCTAGCTCTCACTGGGTTCCAGTAACTGTTCTGCCCCACCTCTCCCCCCCTCCCCAACCCCAGTCTCTTCAGACTTAGGGGTGATAATGGCTTCCCACTGCTGCTAGTTGCTGGATGCTTTGCCATACCTTGTTTGCTCCCTTAATTCTGACAACACCTCTGTAAGTAGTCACTTCATTAAAGGGCCTGGGGGTGCATTCTGTTTTCTCCAGGACCCTGACTGGCACAAGGCCCAGAGTGTGTGAGCGTTCAGCTAGTATTGAATTCACCGAGAACATAATGCAGGGACTTTGTGAAATTAGCATCATTTATGTCCATTGCTATGACAGGGAGCTGCAGGATGTTAGGAGTGGAAGCCCAGTATCTGTGTTTTTAGAAAGATTCTATCTCTGTAGAAGAAAACAACTGATGGAGAGAAAACAGTCCACCCTAAACTAGAGAGAGTACTAATGTGACTTCTGAATGCTCTCACCCTTTGACCCAGAAAGTAATCAAGTTGTTTTTTCTTCCTCCTATCAAGAGGAACTAAAACCCTGTTTTTGGAAGCGACTGGGTTGGTCCGAACCATCCAGGTAATGAGATGTCAGATGTTTGTAAGTCAAAGTCCACTGTTTATAGACAACCTGAATAGACTTAAACATGTACCAGTATCTAAATAAACATTAATGACAAAGACTTGAATTCAGAGTTACTCAGTTTTAAAAATGCTAATGTTTATAGTTAATTAAAATACAAGGGTAAATTAATGCCAACTTGGATTACATAATTGGTAGACAGCACAAGAAGGGTTTTTTTTTTTTTTTTTGGCTGTCTTGGGTCTTTGTTGCTGCACGTGGGCTTTCTCTAGTTGCAGCGAGCGGGGGCCTACTCTTCATTGCGGTGAGTGGGCTCATTGTGGTGGCTTCTCTTGTTGAGGAGCACGGGCTCTAGGCACGCGGGCTTCAGTAGTTGCAGCACGCGGGCTCAGTAGTTACAGCACACAGGCCCTAGAGTGCGTGGGCTTCAGTAGTTGTGGCACGCAGGCTCAGTGGTTGTGGCGCATGGACTTAATTGCTCCGCGGCATGTGGGATCTTCCCAGACCAGGGATCGAACCCGTGTTCCCTGCATTGGCAGGCGGATTCTTAACCACGGCGCCACAAGGGAGGTCCCACAAGAACGGTTTTAGATGGAGGGAGTACGGAAGATGCTGCTCTTGAAATGCTTTACATTTCCACGATACACTAGCTTATCATAATCTCGCTTGATTATAAAGATCAAAGTTTCTTTCCTTTGAATTCAGTTGAATAAAAAGAGGCTGTTGTCTGTGTCTTTAAGAAACATCACACCAACTCGAAACTCCCTTTTTTGTTCAGGATAATCGTGCTGGATCAGAGTGACTTGTCAGACTGACCGGAAGTGGACCATAGATGGACTCCTGGCCTGTGTTTGAGTATCTTGCTCATGAGCTCCCTTCTTCCCTCGTCTGCTTCAGTCACCATTAGGGCAGTGGTTCCATTGCTCACACTTTGTTTAGCCGCCACAATAGACAGAACGACTTGTTTGTTTGCAGCACATTTAGCCATTTGTTTTCAGTCAGATTTCTGAAAAGTAAACGGTAGTTTTGATTGTAAAGCTTTCTCATTGTGTCCAGAATGGTTTTTTTTATATAAATTTTCAAACACTTCAACTCCTGTTATATAATAAAATGTTTCCTTTTAATACCAGTTAGGTTTCAGCTGTAAGATATATTTCTGTGTTTTAGTTGTTGGGAGAGGACCTGCCACCCAAAGAAGTTTTGAATTCTGTTATAAAGTTTGACAAGTAAATAGCTACTGCTGCCACCCATCGTACAAACTGGCACCAGTCATCCATGTTTTATTACAGAAATATTGCCCTCCTCTTCACCGGGATTGCCATATTCCCGTTCCAGCTACAATTGACTTACGTGATAAAAGTGTAGGTAGGAATAAAAGCCCAAAATATTTTGAACTCTTTAAGGTGAACAAACATCATCTCTGTGTATTTCAGTTTGCACCTCACATCCTTAGTGTCTTAGAAGAATGAAACTATGGTAAGAAAGATCACAATATTTTCTCTAATTTAGCCTCTTGTGCGGTGCTAGCCAGCTAACATTTTATCTGTAAGTAGTAGGTCTTTTGTTTGTGAAAACCGGATAGTTCCTATTGTGAACGGTCATATTCATACAGTTCTTAGCTCCCCAAAATTTTACGCTGCACAAATAAAACAGGAAGGTACAAGTTTATTTGACCATTTTAAAGCAAGGAAATGGTGGCTTGCCATTGTAACCAGAGGAGACCCATGACAAATTACTTTACAAATAATACGAAACTTTGAGGGATACAGAGACTTAGTAACATGCAGTGCTTCCTCTCAAAAAACTTTATATGGTGAGACAGAGCCAACATACATAAAGATGTAAGATCTAATAGCAGACGTATCATGATAAATGGTAAGATATGAAATTACAGTATTATCTATTGGTATTCATAAAGGCAACAAGGCTATAGACTCGCACTGATGTGGTTTGTAATCCTTTGTCTGCAGAGTAGACGCTTCTGCCTGGCCAGTGACTATGTAATATTGGCCAATGTTAACAATAATAATGTTGATAGATATTGTTTATTGGTTATGGAGCACCTGTTATGTGCCAGGTACTTTATGTACTTGGTGCTTTTCCTGCACATGGCACTCTCACTGTATTTCTTTAGTATGCTGCTTTTCCTACTCTTCAGCAGCTGTTATTTCAAACTTTTATTCTTCACTTCCCATCAACATTTAACAGATGACTTACCTCCAGCTTTACAGAGAAATTAGCCATCAGATGGGAACAAATCAGCTTCCCACCACCAACACTACTAACAAGACCACATCTGTCTCTGTGACTAGAACAGTTGTAGGTAAATCAGTCTACCCTAAACTAGAGGTGGACCTTTTCTACATGTATTCTTTCTATTGATACTTTCCTCCACGTTACACTGAAGGAAGTGTCTCTCTTCCCATCCAAGGCCAGTCTCATCTTCTCTGTCTGCTCAGAGTTATCCTTCTCAGGTTATTATCTCCCTTCTTAGTATCTCCAACCCCTTCTTTGTTAGCTTCTTTTCATCACTTGACGCACTTGGATGTTTCCCATTGTTGTTAAGTATTCCCTGGATTTTCCTGGAAGTCCGGCGGTTAAGACTCTGTGCTTCCATTGCTGGGGGCACTGGTTCGACCCCTGGTCAGGGAACTAGGATCCCTCATGCCGTGTGGTGTGGCCAAAAAAAAAAAGAAGTATTCCCTGGATCCCACGTCCCTTTCCAGCCACTGCCCCATCTCTTTCCTCCCACTGCAGTTAGAGTTCTTAAAAGAGTTGTCTACACCTGCTGTCTTTAGTGCCTCACCTCCAACTCACTCTTCAACCCACTATAATCTGAACTCTGCTCCTTCCATTCTCAGGCAATCCTAACGTTACCAGTGACTTCCATATTCCTAAATCCCAGGGACACGCTTCTGGCCTCGTTGTCCAGTTTGCTCTCTCAGACTGTTCCCTTGGCTCCCTTATGTTACAATCTGGTTTTCCTTCTATTTCTCTGGTTATTCCATCTCAGCCTCCTTTGGGGTTCTGCCTTTACCTTTTCTTTTTATTTTAAAGATTTATTTTATTAAAGTATAGCTGAGTTACAGTGTTGTGTTAATTTCTGCTGAACAGCAAAATAATTGAGTTATACATATACATACATCCTTTTCTTTATTCTTTTTCATTATGTTTTATCACAGGATATTGAATATAATTCCCTGTGCTATACAGAAGGACCTTATTGTTTATCTATTTTATATATGGTAGTTTGTATCTGCTAATCCCAAACTCCCAATCCATCCCTTCCCCACCCCCCTCCCTCTTGGTAACAACAAGTCTGTTATCAATACCTGTGAGTCTGTTTCTGTTTTGTAGATAAGTTCATTTGTGCCATATTTTAGATTCCACATATAAGTGATATCATATGGTATTTGTCTTTCTCTGTCTGACTTACTTCACTTAGTATGATAATGTCTAGGTCCATCCATGTTGCTGCAAATGGCATTCTTTCTTTCTTTCACTTTTATGGCTGAGTAGTATTCCATTGTGTATATGTACCACATCTTCTTAATCCATTCATCTGTTGAGACGTTTAGGTTGTTTCCATGTTTTGGCTATTCTGAATAGTGCTGCTTTGAGCATAGGGGTGCATGTATCTTTTAACTTGCAGTTTTGTCTGGATATATGCCCAGGAGTGGGATTTCTGGATCATATGACAACTCTATTTTTAGTTTTTTAAGGAACTTCCATACTGTTCTCCATACTGGCTGCACCAATTTACATTCCCACCAACAGTGTACGAGGGTTCCCTTTTCTCCACACCCTTTCCAATATTTGCTATTTGTAGACTTTTTAATGATGGCCATTCTGACCAATGTGAGGTGCTACCTCATTGTAGTTTTGATTTGCATTTCTCTAATAATTAGCAATGTTGAGCATCTTTTCACATGCCTGTTGGCACTCTGTATGTCTTCTTTGGAGAAATGTCTGTTTAGGTCTTCTGCCCATTTTTCAGTTAGGTTGTTTGTTTTTTTGTTATTAAGTTGTATGAGCTGTTTGTATATTTTGGAAATTAAGCCCTTGTTGGTCACATCATTTACAAATATTTTCTCCCAGTCTTTAAGTTGGCTTTTCATTTTGTTTATGGTTTCCTTTGCTGTACAAAAGCTTGTAAGTTTGATTAGGTCCCATTTGCTTATTTTTTCTCTTATTTCTATTGCCTTGGGAGACTGACCTAAGAAAACATTGGTACGATTTTATTTTTGTCAGAGAATGTTTTGCCTATGTTCTCTTTTAGGAGTTTTATGGTGTCATGTCTTATATTTAAGTCTGTAAGCCCATTTTGAGTTTATTTTTGTGTATGGTGTGAGGGAGTGTCCTAACTTCATTGATTTACATGTGGCTGTCCAACTTGCCCACCACCACTTGCTGAAGAGATTGTCTTTTCTCCCATTGTATATTCTTGCCTCCTTTGTCGAAGATTTGTTGGCCATAGGTGTGTGGATTTGTTTTGGGGCTCTCTATTCTGTTCCATTGATCCATATGTCTGTTTTTGTACCGATACCAGTCTGCTTTGATTACTGTAGCTTTGTAGTACTGTCTGATGTCTGGAAGGGTTATGCCTCCTGCTTTGTTCTTTTTCCTCAGGATTGCTTTGGCAATTATGGGTCTTTTATGGTTCCATATGAATTTTAGGATTATTTCTTCTAGTTCTGTGAAACATGTCATGGGTAAGTTGATAGGGATCACATTAAAGCTGTAGATTGCTTTGGGTGGTATGGCCATTTTAACAATATTAATTCTTCCAGTCCAGGAGCATGGGATACCTTTCCATTTCTTTGAATCAGCTTTAGTTTCCTTCATTAATGTTTTATAGTTCTCAGCATATATGTCTTTCACCTCCTTGGTCAGGTTTATTCCTAAGGTTTTTTTCTTTTTTTTGATGTGATTTTAAAAGGGATTGTTTTTCTACATTCCTTTCACCTCTACCTTTCCTTACTTCAAGCTTTCCTCCCAAGAGACTTTGCTCACACCCGTTGCTTCACTTAGCTTCTATATGCTGACAACTTCCAGATTTGTATTGCAAGTTTACGACCAGACCTCTTCTCTGAGCCCATATAGCTACCCATGTATTCAGTGTCTCCACTTGGGTTTCTTTCGGGTGTCTTACTGGTAATACCCAGAACTGAACCCATGGTCTTAATCACAAACCTTCTTCATCTTCAGAATTTCCCTTCCAACTAATGGTATTACTGTTCACTCAGCCACTCAAACCAGAAACCCAGGAGTCATTCTTGACTCCTCCCATTCCTTCACTCTTTACATCAAAATATCAATCATTAACACATTTTTGACCCGAGGCATATTATGGCCACAAGCATTAGTTTCTGCAAAAATCCCCTGGTCAGTAATGTGTTAAGACTTACTTGTTTCAATCCTGGAGAGGATGTGGAGAAAAGGGAACCCTCCGACACTGTTGGTGAGAATGTAAGTTGGTAAAGCCACTATGGAAAACAGTATGGAGGTTCCTCAGAAAACCAAAAATAGAATTACCATACGATCCAGCAGTCTCACTCCTGGGAATATACCTGGACAGAACTCTAATTCAAAAAGATACATGCACCCCAATGTTCACAGCAGCACTATTCACAATAGCCAAGACATGGAAACAACCTAAATGTCTATCAACAGATGAATGGATAAAGAAGATGTGGTACATATACACAATGGAATATTACTCATCCATAAAACAGAAAAAAATGCCATATGCCACCACATGGATGCAGCTAGAGATTATACTAAGTGAAGTAAGTCAGAGAAAGACAGGGACTTC